ACTCTTCCTGAAACCATGTTGATTATTGCAGAATAGGTCATTTTGTTCAATATACATCAAAATTCTATTACCTATTATTTTCTCAAAGAGTTTTGAAAAGGATGAAATCAACGAAATCTGCCTATAATTGTCAATTTCTGTTTTCCGACCTTTTTTGTGCAGTGGAAAGACAAGAGCCCTCTTCAATTCATCTGGGAAAAAACCCCCATAAAAGGACTGGTTAAGCAAAAAAACTAATGGTTCAATAATTATATCAATAATTTGCTTTACAGTAACAATAGACATATCATCAATACCAGCTGAATTTTTGTTCCTCATATTATCTAAAGTTTTCAAAACTTCAAGCGGTGAAATTTCTGAGAGATCGAATTCATTTTGAACGACAATATTCTTGGCAAAAGTACATGGTAGAATTAAGTTACATCCAAAATGATCCGAAATTGCTGTTGCAGCCGCTGAAGAGAAATGCCTAGCAAACAAATCTGCAACCGTATGTTGATCTTCAATTTCTTGATTGTTATATTTCAAAGCTATACATGCTGGATTTTTATTTTTAGTTTTTTTCCCAAGTTCATTATTTATGATAGTCCATACTTGTTTAGTTTTATTGTTGGAGTTATATATTTTTGCATTATAATAGTTGGTCTTTCCTTGTTTGATTTTTAATCTGTGATTTTTTAGTTTTGCCCTATAACTATGCATCATATCAGGGTTTACAGTGTTACTAGAAGAAATAAGCCAGAACATGTCTTTTAATGTTGATGCTCTCACAAATGCCAGTAATGAAAGCCGTTGCTACAGGACCCGTAGGCCACCCCTTTGCCTACATTGGATCAAATAATGTCACACCGATGGGAGTAGGGAACTGCTTCTAAAGATCTGATTCGGGCCCCAGCGGGACTAGCACAAAGTATATGCTCTGTTAATGAGGTAGTCGGATAGTCAAGTTTCAAGATTCCCACCTTAATACCCACGACAACCTTTCCATACGACGATGCCTTAGATTCAGCCGTGCAGGGCTTTTTCGCCTTTGGTGTTGGTGAATCGCCACTTGAGCGCGAACATTTGCTAACCTGCTAATGGGGGGTTTGTTCGCCACCAAAAACAGAGAATGTATTCGCCGCCCAAAAATTTGGTACAAGGTGGTTTAAGGTACCCCGCTCTTGAGGAGACGACTCAGTCGTTTCCTGGCTGCACCACCAAACCTTTTTTTATTGTTCAGTTGTTGGATCAGGAGTTGGGGAGTTGAGAAGCTCTCGCTCCTGAACTAAATTTACAAGATCAGTTGGAGTCGTGAACTCGACATCCATCTTCTCTGTAAACTTTGCGGCCCCAATAGCAAATTTCTAGTTGTGAGAAAACGATCGCAAAGTAGCAGTAGAGAGAGATTTCATGGAGTGTGTATGATACAAATAAAAAATGAAATAATCACTCCAAAAAGGGAGGCAAACCGCGGACACTTGCCTGCACCGCGCTGATGAAGCCAATAGCTAGAAACACGTGTCCGCGGTTTGCCTATCTTTATGGAGTGTTGTGTCCACGAATTGTTTCATTTTTGATAACATTTTTGAAAATTTCTGAATTCAACTAATTTCCGTGAGTTACCTTATATAATTTCACCTGAATATAATTTGAAATTTTCAGTCGATACAGTTTTGACAAAATCTTTCATCGCTCCTAGTCTGTATTCTATTCCCAGATAGAGTTCAATATAGAAACTAATATCAATATAGTGTCAACCGTATCTCAAAATATCTATTGAATTTAAGAACTCGCCCCGAAACAAATACGTGACGTCATTGGAGGAACACGGATTTCCCCTTACCTCAACTACTTTCTTATCTAAAACTGACTCTTTTTCGTAACCCCCACCATATACAAATCCTGCAGGCAAACAAGCAGCAAGTAGCCAACGAATTTTGGTTTAGTTTTTTTCTGAAATTGTTGGTGTTTGTCGTTTTGAGGTTACAATCTAATTATAATAAGTATTTTTGTAAATTTGATTTGAAGTTCAAGGTTCAATAATCTGATATTCGCATATCCTTTATTAGAATCTTTGGTGAGTTTCAAGTAATTCTTTGGTGCATTGACTGCTATAACTACTAGTAGTTTTTAGAATATGGCCCAAAAATTTGGTGAAATAAAGCACCAGCTTGATGTGTCTTTGCATGACTCTTCTAAACCATGGACTTCCATTTTAGAACAAGCAGAAAAAAAGACTGGATTGGATAGGTTGTATATATTTGCAGGTAAAAAAATGAAGCACAGCAATAAGATCTATCAATTAATGAACCTTTATTAAAAAAAGAGTTCAATGATTATATTTGTCCTCTTTTCTATTTTATTGGATTCAGCCTCCTCCCTTCCTAAAACGTTAGGGCCTAGTACAGGTATGTTGGATAATTTGTTGACCTTTTGGAAAATCACATTAAACATTTGTTTCATTTTTTCCTATGTGAATACTGTTAATGACTTGCCAAAAGTGTTATAAAAAGATTATCAATTATACTTTTATAAAATTTTGACCTTCCCTACAAATACGATTAATCAAACCTTTTCAACTCTGCTGATAAATCAGAGGAATTATCTTGAAATATACTTGTACAAATAATTCTCTAGGAAACAGGGGATGTGGCAATGTTCTATTGATTAAATTAGTTTGACAAACCGGTGCATTACTTAGTTTTGTATTTTCATTTTCTCCCCAAATGGTCTATAGGGTAGAAGATCGTTCGATTTTTTCAAAAGTAATAACGAGAGTTAACTTAGTCAAATTATGAAATTACCACCCCCTTAAAAACAACAATTTAATTAAGAGTAGCACTATTTTTCTTGTCATATACCTACCCTTCACCTATGAATTTTATTCATTTTCAAATGAATAGTCATTTTTCACAAAAATGAGTTATTCTGATCGAATTGATTAAACTATTAATATGAATGATGGATGGATGGATTATTTATGTTCTTTGTCTTTCAGAAAACCTTTCTAATTTATTTTTTCAGATTACCTACTTCACTAATATTGAAAAGATACAAAAGTACTTTCATTATAGAATTAGATTAGAAAAATACCCTGAAATCCTTTAAGTTACCAGTTCTTTATACTGATTTGATATGTCAAGCAAATTTACAAATGAAACTGAGATGAACAACATGAGTAGATACAACTAATTGGATAAAATAAAATTATTATAGATAAGATATATTAATGTGAAGTAGGAAAGAGGAGAGAACTTTCTTCCAAAAAATATTTCTGATGATTGAAATCCTTTCACCCACCTGAAAATCATATTTTTTCAATACAATGAAAGTTATCTGCTAATCATAAAAACATGCTCTACTTTATTTTGAGCCAAGAATTCCTCAGTTTCCATATCGAAGATTATTTATTTAGGGTCAAATCAATTTGGAGTAATAGCCTGGGAGAAAATATATTCAAGAAATACTTCATTGTGCAACTTTCATTAAACAGTTTTACAAAAAGCAACACGTGTTTTGCTATACAATAACTTCTTCAGGTGTGTCTTTACTAACTAAAGTCTACATATTCAAAGCTACATATATGTTTTAACAATTTGAAGTACCTGGATTTGTGTACCTGAGTTTGAGAATGAATCAATGAATATTAACATAAAGAAGAGAAAGTGTACAAACTCATTTAAATAAACATGTAATGAATGAAATTACCTGAGCTTATGTATCAGTTAATTGATTACTTGTAAATGAGCCGAATTTTCAAATCTATTTAGTTATAAACTTTCTAAAAGGTTTGAGTTTCAAACTTTTCTCTTCTAAATGTAACACATCATAGTCATTATCGAACTCATGTCCTTCTGCTAAAAGCTGGTTTGCAACTGTGGAATTGGTCTTTACATTCGAAAAACTACTTGTATGATCTTCAATTCTTTTGGGAAAAGTTCCCCCGTTTGGCCAATATAGAGTTTTGGACAAGAGCTACATGTCAACTTATATACTCCTGATCTAGCCGATACAGAAGCTTTTTCTTTATTGTTTTCAATAAATTCGTTCAAACTATTATTTGTTCTGTAAGCCACGTCTAAGCACTCCTTTTTCAAAATGTGAGCGATATTATTGGTGGGTTTACCAAGATATGATAATGTCCTATAGCGAACGGTACCGTTTTTTGTAGTTGGGTAGACCTGCTCCATGAATTGTTTCCATAGTTTTTTATAAAGAATGAAATCTAGATGATTGAGAGTAAATTACCTGTAGATAGATATTCAAGAAATCCCTGCTACAATATTGAAAATGTAGAAAGGAAATTTCAATATTGTAGGAGGGGTATCTTCAATGTATGAAGTTCTGATACAAAAGAACAAACTTGAACGATTCATTCACGTGTTTGCAAATTCTATATTGTAGTTTGATGAAGTTTGGACAAGTCTGAAGATGGGTCTGACTTTCGGACAGCAAGTTGATATTTGTATACTCTACTTGTCACATGTCTGTTGGTCTGTTCTACATGTGTTCTATGAAAATCAGAACATTTAATTTCATATATACCGTGGGATTCATTGAATATTTTGGAGGAATGTAGAAATTTTATTGTTAACGGTGAATATCGTTTTTATGTCCTGTTTTTTGAGAATTCGGCCAATTTTGTTGGTGTTACTGAGAAATTTGGCGGAAAGACTCGTTCATACCTAAACAGGTAAAAAATGTTTCATTTCCCCAACAATAACTTATCTTCCTCTGTAAATATACAACTCAAATGTGAAAGTTCCGGCAATAATTTACAGAATACCCAAAATGTTTCGTAATTTTTTTTTCATTACAACAAGAATCATTTTACATTGTCAACTATGTTTGCCAATGGAACTATTAATAAGTAATAGGTATTCTGTTGATAATTGTGATATTGCACTCACTTGGTGAAATATGGAAATGAAACTTAAATTTTTACTAATAATACCAACTATTTTTCAGGTGTTTCCAATTGGCGTCTGGTATCATCAGCGGTTGACGTAAATCGGACAGCAATTATTTTTCTGAGTACAGTTGGTGACTATATAATAAATAATAAGTTATTAAAAGGAACATATTGTTGAAACATCACTAATTGTTTCAGAAAAACAACTGCTTCATAAATTGGCGTTAGTTATACATCAACCGCTGATGATACCAAATGCCAATGGAAAATGCACAATTTGCTTTTAGTATGGTTTGATTTGTTAATAAAAACACTCATACAATGATGATATTAATGAGCATGTATCTGTTAGCTAGATTAATCACATTTTTGTTTCAGGTGGAATTGTACTAGTTGGATTATGGCTGGTGTTTGGATATTTTGCTCAGTTAGTATGTAATTCAGTGGGATTCTTATATCCAGCTTACATGTCTATAAAGGCTATTGAATCAAAATCTAAAGATGATGATACAAAATGGCTCACTTATTGGGTTGTATTTGCACTTTTTTCAATTGCTGAGTACTTTGCTGATTTCATTGTTGGATGGTTTCCTCTATATTGGCTCATTAAAGTAATTTGTGTAAACCAAATCTTTTACAGTGCCAATTAATACAAATAATTTTTTTCAGTGCATTTTTATGGTATGGCTGATGATTCCTACAGGTTTCAATGGATCTTTGATTTTGTACAACAGAATTATTAAACCATATTTTTTAAAACATGAACACAATATCGATGATGTCGTCAATAAAGTGAAGGACTCAGGTATTTATTGCAATGTTACTTTAAAAGTTACATTTTCAATAATGACAATAAACTTTGATATCGGTAACTTTTCTTATTTTCAGCTCATAAAGTATTTGACAAAAGGGAATGAATCGTCTTAACGTAGAGTTCAACTACCGAAATACTTTGGCTGTATATGGAGCGTTTTTGGCCCTTCAGAAATCTGTTTGAGACATTTCAAATTTAGTATTTTTATATAAGCACAATGTATTACATTTTTTCAGTCCTTGCCTTACTGTTAAGATATATATTTACTAGAGCAATGAATCTGTTTTTAATGTGAAATATATTATAAGTGTGAATTTTTCAGGACTTGATTATATTATAGGCTTGTGAGTGTTTATTTTGTATTCATTTATTTTTTTTTTAGAATCTATTATTGATTTTTTTCATCAACAATTTCGAAAAAAAGTAAAACTACACTAAATTTAAGTTCATAAGTCAGTCGGGAGCCAGGCGTTCGACATGGGTGCTTTGTTCACTCATTCGAATTGACTGTCGTGTTGGTCAGTGGTTCAAGCCCTAGTTTGAATGATCGATTTTCACTTGCTATCGTCCAACCCATGATAGGAATCACACGTTAAAAGGTAAGATCTCGTTAATCCTTAGCTCGCACAAGTTTCGTCTTTTGAGGGTTGTCGTTTGTAGGGGTGCGACAGCTGGTTAACGGAAAAACAGATTTTAAACAGATAAGTGATAGTATGGATGAAAGTAATATCAACCTACCATTAAATCATGTATAACAGGATTGATTAAACAAATATATATGTGTATCTTGATAATGAATATGATGAATATTTCCATTGTACAACTTTCTGCTCTGGAAGAGATGAATACTGTCAGAATTAACAGCTCACTGTTTATTTGGTTTTTGTGGTTGAAGGTTAGGGTTAGGTCCAAAGTGAGGTTTGTTATGGCCTTGATCGAAAGAATCAAATTTTAATAGATGGTTTTTTCAAAACGTTAATTTTTTAGATTGTGTGAAGTTGAATACCCAAAAATTAGCAAAAAAATTGACATCTACACTGAAAATATATTAAAGGGTAATAAACATCAAATTGAAAAGTTCTCCATGAAAAGTCATTGCCTTATATAAATCACTAGAGTCTACTTTGCCTCTAATTAGAATAAATGAAAAAGTCTAAATTCAAAACATTTATTTTTCAGTTAATTATCAGCTATAATATCCCAAGGACATTGATAACTAACGAAATAATTTTATCACAGTTTTCGAAAGCACGTTATTTGGTAACATCCCGACGCAGTTATAAAATTGGCCCATACTTCATGGAAATCCACAACATATTCAAGTAACGCGTTATTGTAAGATTTTTGATGAACAGGTTGCAAAATGACAACATATGTTTCACTATACAATAACTTCTTCAGGCTTATTGTTCATACTAACTAGTTAAGAGGTGTGTAAACACAAAACAATTACCTAAGGTTTGTGTAAATTTTAAGTAATATTAGAAAAAAAAGAACAAGACCAAAATAAAGACTGCACTAAGAAATGTTACAAACGCCCGGTTATTTCTTATTCTTCATAGGCTCGTGACGCTTGGATGTGGAAGAAAGGGTCCTTTCAGGGCATGGCGGCATCTAGGTTGTCGTTGTCCCTACCTACTTCAAATTAGTTTTTTCCATAACACTGCCAAAGAAGTAGCAGGAAAACAGTTTTTTCACGTAACTACATATTTGAAAGTGAAACGATATAGCAAGAGAAAACTGTGAAACATTCGAATTTTTTCAATTATGAATACGGAGGCAGATTGCGCCCTCTGAAACATGAAAAATAAGTATCAATATAATTCTTAACTTTCTTTAAAGGCAAAATTATCAAATATACAGAAACAGTTTTTTTCCTTTGTGAAAAAATACATTGAATTTATACAGTAACAGCAGGGAGAACTACTAATTTACCCTTTTTACACTTTTATAAAGTTCTGCATCACAATTTTATTTTTTCATCTTATGGTGAAAATATACAAAAGGGTTGATGAAATAGGTATATTGATTTCCTGTAGGAAACTTATTTTTTTTAAATAAAATAATGTTAACAATCTCTAAAAAATGTGTCCTTTCATTAACTCCCTCTTATAATGATGTCAACAGTATGCAATGACCACCATTCGAAACAAACCATTGATATTTTTTACAAACATCGCAAGATACTACTCATATTTTTAACGCTCCGTAAAAGATAATTCCTTGTGATGTTATTATATTAATGAGGCAATGTATTTTTAAGCTGGAACTCAAGAGAGGTAAAACAACCGCCTTGTGACTTATTTTTAGAGAAGATATGATTTTATAGACCTGATAGAGGACAAGTCCTTGTGTTGAAATTCACTGTAGTGATTATAATGCGTTTTTGCCTCACAGAACATTATCTTTAAAGT